ACGGCGCTCCGCTATTTTCGAAGACTATAATGAAGAATTTAAATGAGGAATCTGAACTGTTCGTTCAGAACAGTTTGATATACCAATTGCTATCCTGCTGTATACCACTTGGTGAACTTGCTAAAAATAAGGTAAACCTTTTTATATTCGTAGAAATAGAACAGTATTATAACTTTGTTGTTTTACATAATGGCATACATATTTTAATTTCAGGTGGATATATTTAAATGCCAAACGTGGGAAGAAAGGGTAAATCTTGCAATCGAATCGGTTAAAAAACACGCTCCGCTCAAGGCGGACTATCTAGGCTTGGTCTCCAACACCATCTACAAGCGGATGAAATGTGTTGATAATTATGTGCCTTCTTACAGAAATTTAAGGTCAAATGTAAAACTGTTCAAAGCAACTGCTTCCATCATTCAAGATATCGCGGATGACTACGGATTGTCAGCGTTCTTTGAGAAGTCCGTCGAGATTCGGTTGTTCGAGGGAAATCACGAGACGATTTTAGAAAACGAGAAACTAGCTGATGCTATAAATACTTCCAGTTTGATGGCAAACTGACATATGTAGAAATGTACTAGGTACTAGAGAATAGTTTTTTTCTTGAAACAACGAATATTCGTTATATCAAAATAAATTTATGTTTAACATGATGATGATGGTATTTTCTGATTTAAAGAAAGAAATTTTTTTAAATTTAATGAAAAATAAAAAATCTGTCTAGTTATTTTTTTAACTACCGCAATATTTGTTTAACTACAAGGGAGTTTTTTAAAGTTTTCTCTAAATGTCATTCAATATTTTGTTAAATATTTTATTGGTTATTTCGGGTTAATGACAACAAATGTGTTCAATACGTGTGACATAATGCATAAAATTTGGAGCAAATGGAGATTCCGAATGCTGATTACAGAACTGGCAATGAATCTGGTTAACGTTCGTACACAGGTAGTGGCAGCTCTGCAAGTAGCTGTGCTACGTATTTCGGTTTAGGGCTCTTTCGATTTCTAGACACTGAGATGAATCATCACCTTGTGATATTTTACTAAATATAATCTACTAATCGATAGAAAATTTTCTTCCAATAAATATTGTATCAATATTGTATTTACATGACAAATACAATATTTGATGGCATTCAAATTACGGTCCAACATTTAACATAATCCTACAGGTAAAAGAACTTTATTTAAACCTTGTCACTGGTAAATAAAAATCATATTTATATCTAAGAGAGTTAAAATTAAGGATTAATTTTTCTCTTTCTCCCAGATAAAAACATTATTTATACCATATCACCTAGTAACAAAAATCCATGTGTACTTCGTATCAAGTGCCTGACAAAACATATAATATGTCGAAACCGATCACATTTCTAACGGGCAATCGTATAAGAAATTATAGGTAAGTCATATAAATCTTAAGCGCAGACTTCCCAAGACAACTTATCATCAATGAACTGGGTCTACCTGAATTACAAGATGAAATAGACGAAATATCAATATTAAAAGAGAGGTTAAAAGCTAAGGAAGCGCACAAATATGTACAGGGACCTGTAGTTATAGAAGATGCGACTTTATGCTTTAATTCCCTCAAAAACGTTATATAAAGTGGTTTTTAGAGATATTGGAACTAGAAGGTTTAATTAAACTGTCGACAGCGTTTGTCGATAAATCAGTTCAAGCTGTTTGTACGTTTGCTTACCATGAGACGGATGGGCAGTATGTAAATTCTAGAGGGTACAGAGACTTTGGTTGGAATCCTGCTTCCACCCTGCTGATACGATGTTACTTACTTATGCAGAGATGCATAAGGTAGAAAAGAATAAAATTTCTCACAGAAGGCATTGCTTTTTAAAAATTTAGATTTGTTTGCTTATTAATTTATTAAAATTCAAGTACAGTAGAACCCCGATTATCCGAGCTATTGTGGACCAAGCCTACCTCGGATAATCAAAAACTCGGATAATACGGACTTTATTTTCTACTGTAAAATAAAATCAGATTTTTAATCAAATTACATATGTTTTATTTACGTACGCAGTAATAAAGTAAGTACTAAAGTAATATGTGTGTATATACCTAACAGTATGACAAGCAAACTAAGGAGTAAAAAAAGACGAAATTTTCGTTTGACGTAATCGAGGAGCGCGATTTTTTGCAGCAATGTCTCTCCATTTTTTCATGAGAAAAATGTCTGCTGGCGTTGCTTCGTTTTGCTGCTCCACATAAGCTAAGGCAGTTTCAAATGCAGCTAAAGCTTCCGAATGAGAAACTTTCTGAAAAATGATTTCTTCATCAGAACTTGATTCTTCAATGCGTTGGCGTTCTTGAACGATTGACGCAATCTCTTCATCAGTGTAATCCAATTCCACGTCATCTCCTCTGATCCACTCTTCGACATCATTTTCTGTTAAGGGGTCCTCACTCAGTAGTGACCTCGCCATCTCAAACAACGGGAGCACAGGTTCCTCAACAGAGAGATCGTCTTTCGAAAAATCGACAGTTTTGCGCCATGACTTCATCAAAGTTTCAAGTTTCATTTCATGCCACGATTGGGCTATCCAATACATCACGTCCTTAAGATTCACCTTTTTTAAATAAGTCGTTAAGTCCTCACCATTTTCTAACGCTTCCAAAAGCGATTTTAATAGGCAAAATCTGTAGTTGCGCTTTAGATTTTCCAATACTCCTTGATCCATTGGTTAGATCAATGATGTAACGTTTGGCGGAAAAAAAAGCACTTTGATGTCCTCGCTACATAACTCATCTTCACTTGGATACGATGGAGCATTGTCCAGTAGCAGTAATGCTTTTCTCGACAGTTTCATTTTTTTCAAATGTTGCTCCACTTGAGGAACAAATTCTTCATAGAACCATGCTTTGAAGAGTTTTGAAACCATCCATGCACTTCTATAGTAAACGGGCATGGCTGTTGGTGAAAGATTTTTAAAAGCTCTAGGTTTGGCAGATTTTCCAATCATCATGAGGGGCAATTTGTGACTACCAAAAGAATTGCTGCATGCGAAAATTGTTACCCTTTCTTTGCTACGCTTGTAACCAGGAGCTGATGTTTCTTGACGTGATGCTAGGGTTTTGGCTGGCAAAAGTTTGTAATTTAGGCCAGTCTCATCACAGTTATAAATTTGATCTGGGCTGTATCCATCGTTGTTTATTTTTTGTTGAATTTTTTCTTTAAATGTTATCACGGCAGAGCTGTCTGAAAAAGTCGAATTGAAAAATAACGAGTTTCTGACTTGAAACATTTACCGGACAAAATTAAGAAACATGAAAATTCTCCTAAACACAAAAATAACTTGGTGAGTTTTTTACTTTTAGGAAGAGTAACTATTGCTTCTTTTTTAAGTAGTGCTTATGCAGAACAAATAAATAGTCATAACGAAACGGTTAAGAAAAATCGATTGCTTCTTTCAAAAATTATAGATATCTTAAAACTATGTGGTACATGTAACCTTCCCCTTCGTGGACATAATGAAAAAAGTGACTCGGTAAACAAAGGGCAATTTTTAGAACTGACAGACTATAATGCAAAAATTGATCCCGTTTTAGATAAACATCTTAGTGATGCCCATGTTTACCCCCTACACACTGACAGTATTTATTTTGGAGTATGTAGGTACTTGCAAAACACAATGACCTTGAAATTCTTCAAAATTTTTCGCCTGCGGCGCTAAGCAGGGGGCTTCCGCCCCCCGCAGCTCCTATCATATACATTCTCTCTTCAGAATGCGCCCCCCCTATAGTCAAACCCACGGGGCGCCACTGAATTACACATGCATTGAAAAAATCTTTTATTGCAATAAAAATGAAAATACGTATGTATAAATTTAATTGCATTTAAATACAATACCCCGGATGATAATTTTAGATTTGTATGTTTATTAATTTATTAAAATTTAAAATCTACAATAACTGTCAGTGTCAAATATTTACATAAAAGGCCAAGTGTCGTGAAGCATGATCGTTTGTATCGGCCATATTGACATGGGCCCTCGGTGGAGACATCGGAAGTTCGAATCGAGCCCCACGTTGGGCGCCATGTCGAGGANACCGCAATATTTGTTTAACTACAAGGGAGTTTTTTAAAGTTTTCTCTAAATGTCATTCAATATTTTGTTAAATATTTTATTGGTTATTTCGGGTTAATGACAACAAATGTGTTCAATACGTGTGACATAATGCATAAAATTTGGAGCAAATGGAGATTCCGAATGCTGATTACAGAACTGGCAATGAATCTGGTTAACGTTCGTACACAGGTAGTGGCAGCTCTGCAAGTAGCTGTGCTACGTATTTCGGTTTAGGGCTCTTTCGATTTCTAGACACTGAGATGAATCATCACCTTGTGATATTTTACTAAATATAATCTACTAATCGATAGAAAATTTTCTTCCAATAAATATTGTATCAATATTGTATTTACATGACAAATACAATATTTGATGGCATTCAAATTACGGTCCAACATTTAACATAATCCTACAGGTAAAAGAACTTTATTTAAACCTTGTCACTGGTAAATAAAAATCATATTTATATCTAAGAGAGTTAAAATTAAGGATTAATTTTTCTCTTTCTCCCAGATAAAAACATTATTTATACCATATCACCTAGTAACAAAAATCCATGTGTACTTCGTATCAAGAGCCTGACAAAACATATGATATGTCGAAACCGATCACATTTCTAACGGGCAATCGTATAAGAAATTATAGGTAAGTCATATAAATCTTAAGCGCAGACTTCCCAAGACAACTTATCATCAATGAACTGGGTCTACCTGAATTACAAGATGAAATAGACGAAATACTAATATTAAAAGAGAGGCTAAAAGCTAAGGAAGCGCACAAATATGTACAGGGACCTGTAGTTATAGAAGATGCGACTTTATGCTTTAATTCCCTCAAAAACGTTACATAAAGTGGTTTTTAGAGATATTGGAACTAGAAGGTTTAATTAAACTGTCGACAGCATTTGTCGATAAATCAGCTCAAGCAGTTTGTACGTTTGCTTACCATGAGACGGATGGGCAGTATGTAAATTCTAGAGGGTACAGAGACTTTGGTTGGAATCCAGCTTCCATCCTGCTGATTCGATGTTACTTACTTATGCAGAGATGCATAAGGTAGAAAAGAATAAAATTTCTCACAGAAGGCATTGCTTTTTAAAAATTAATATTAAGATTATGTTTTTCTTTCTTATCCAATTGAAAATTGCAATATAATTACACATACATTGAAAAAATCTTTTATTGCAATAAAAATGAAAATACGTGTGTATAAATTTAATTGCATTTAAATACAATACCCCGGATGATAATTTTAGATTTGTATGTTTATTAATTTATTAAAATTTAAAATCTACAATAACTGTCAGTGTCAAATATTTACATAAAAGGCCAAGGATATAAAATATAGGTTGATCGATTTTTCTCANCCACTCTTCGACATCATTTTCTGTTAAGGGGTCCTTACTCGGTAGTGACCTCGCCATCTCAAGCAACGGGAGCACAGGTCCCTCAACGGAGAGATCGTCTTCCGAAAAATCGACAGTTTTGCGCCATGACTTCATCAAAGTTTCAGGTTTCATTTCATGCCACGATTGGGCTATCCATAACATCACGTCCTTAAGATT